ATGCCAAAAAAATACAAATTTTTTTAAATCTGAAATCCACAAAAAAGTTTGGCTCTACCAGCCTCCACCTTGATACGCCACAAAAATTACGCCTTACAAATTTTTTATAAAATATCTTTTATAGAAAGATATTTTATTTTTTTTAATTTCTCTCTGTTTTAATTCAATTAAAATTCAATAAGTCAATATATTTAATCAAATTCTTTTTATTGATTGATACACATAAAAAAAATTCCCAATGGACATTTTAAACGATTGGTTTAACTCCCTTCAGAAATTAATAACGATTTTAATAATACTAATAATAATAATGATAGGTACTCATGCAAATCCTTTAGGACATTTTTTATGCATGAAGGAATTCTTATCTGAACACACTTAAAAACCTTTTAAAAGTGACTTTTTTGACTTAATTGTAATAGCTATTTTATTCTTATTCTCTTTTTATGGTAGAAATAAAATGTCGAATCGAAACATTCATAAAAGTAAAGTCTGGAATTATTTTGTAAAAAACAATGATTCTACAATAACAAATTTACAACAAAGAGCTAAAATACAATTAAAATACAAGCTCGATGGCAAATCATTTGTATAGTAACCATCAGATTAATATTAAAGAGTCTAAATTTCCAAGTATAACAAATGGTCATGTATCTATCAAAGCTGCATTTGCAAACTCTCACTCATATTGTTCAAGTTCGCAGAAATATAGAGATTTAGAGGAATCTATGTGTAACTTTGTTCTTCAAACAGCTCAACCACTGTCGATTGTTGATAATAAGTATTTCATTAAAATGCTTCATTTGATAACAAGTACAAATTGCCGACAAGACAAAAGTTTTTGTATGAAATAGTGCCGCTTAAATTTGAATCATTTAAAGTAAAAGTAATGCATCTTTTAAACCAAGCTGAATTTTGTCATCTAACCACAGATGAATGGACATCATAAGCCTTGCATTCATACACTGGTGGCACAGTACAGTTTTGTTGATCAAAACTTTTGTTTGAAATTGATTTGGATTGCATTAAAGCATAGCCCAAAAGCCCATACTAGCCTATATTTAAAAGAGCAAATTGAGTTAATTCTAAATGAATGAAAAATAAGTGATAAAACACTTTCATCGAGTAGTGACACTGCTGCAAATATTAAAAATTGTCTAGAAGATCTAATTAACAAATTGTACATACATTGTTTTTGTCATATATTAAGTTTAATTGTTAAAGATGTTCTTGTAAAAGAGAATGAGCTATCAACTGACAAAAATCATTGTGTTTTCATAATTTTAAGAAAATGTAGGAAACTCGCTTATTCAAGCATAGTAATAAGCTTTCTGCTTGTAAATTGTGTTGAGTTAAATAATATGAAAATTGACAATCAAGAAGATAAATGTTCTATTAACAAATTAAAACAAGACATTGCTACTCGGTGGAATTAGACCTTTTTAATATTACAGTCAGTTTTTAAACTTAGCGAATCAATCAAAGACGTTATTATCGAGCAAGAGAACAATTTTTAATAACAAAGATTTGTTATTAAAAAGTTAAGAACTGGAAATCATTGGCAAGCTAATTGATTTATTAGATACATGATTTTACAAAAATTTTGAGCGGATCAAAATATACTACTTGTTCAATTATATTACCAGCCGTTAATAAATTAACTGATTACTTTGCTAACTTCAAAAGCGAATCAAATAATCTTACAACTATGAATCTTGCCACCAAATTCAAAGATAATTTTAATCGAAGATGTGAGGATTTTCTTAAAATTAAAATGTTGTAGGCAGCTACATATTTAGATCCCGATTTCGTAATTTTAAATTTATATCAAACAAAACAGCGAAAATTTCTTGTATTAAAAAAGCTCATTCTTTAGTTGTTCAATTGAGCCATGAATTGCAGCTAACACCAACAAGCCTTCAAAAATCAAAAAAAAAGAAAAATATTGTTTTGCAATGAAACAGTGTTATCAGAAGATTTGTTATCAGTAGACAACAAAATCATCAATTATTTAAATATGAATATAAAAGTATTGCAAAGTTTATGTCCCCTTGCATTTTATAAAAATAATTTATGCCAATTTCTCGTTTTGTTAAAGATAGAGAAGATGCTCTTTTGTATAACTGCTTCATCAACGTCTTCTGAAGATTTATTTTCAAGTGCTGTCGAAATCATTACAAAAGGGTGAAATAGACTTGAACCAGATTTGGCAGATCTATGAATTAATTGCCGAGCAACATTTAAATATTATAATTTTAAAAAATTCAAATATTTTGACTAAATTGACTTATAGTCGATTTCCACAAAATATTATTCGATTTTAGTCAACTTTGAAAAACACCTTAATCGATTTAGTCAACAGTCGAGTTATTTCAAAGTTGTAACAACACTAATACTAATAGAGACTTGATGATTGGACAATAGTTAGAAGGGTCAGAGTGTTCTTCAAAGTTTTTTTAAAATTGGAACCACAAAAGCTATATTCCAGCAGGAAAGAAAACAAGATTCACTTTTGTAAGACAGTGAACACTTGTGTAAGTGTGTACTTGTGAACACTTGTGTAAGACTGTTACAGGAATGTTATCACAAGCAGTAGAAGAGTTTAAGTAGAAATAACTTAAGAAATAAAAGCAGGATTTATTTGGATATCTAACAGTGGATTAAACTGTTTTTTGAAAATAGACAGTAGAGTGGTAGTTACTTTCAAGAGACAAGTTAGAGGAAAAGTTCCTTGCAAATAGTTCTGTCCTTGAGAGTGGTAAAAACTTCAGACCCATGTATTAGAGATGGAATGTTAAACTTTTATTAATGACTTTGTTAAAGATTTTCCATAAGACTTTATAGCCCAATTTTTGAAATAAAACATTAATAATATTAGTAAACTGTAAATAATGGAACATTGATTTCTTGCAATATTAAAATTATGTTTGCTTTCAAAAGAGTTGTGCTTGCAAAAAAGATTAAAATTGATTACAATTAGAAATTGCAGCTGCACAATAAGGTAAAAATCTTCTTGCGCGGGAGCCTTCTTGGGGGAGAATAGGGTTTGACATGAAACAGAAAAAAGGAATAAAAACCTTTATGCCTCCATAAATCCAGGAGATTACATATGAGGTGCAATTATGAGAGAGGAAAGGCATCACAGTCAGTTTTAAAGTAGTATTAAGAAATGCAAATAAGGGAGTCTGAATAAGAGTTACGCAACAAAGGTTTCAGAAAAATTATAGCATGGTCTTATTTACCTAAAAAAGAACAAGTATAAATAAAGCTAGGATCAGAGACAATAACAAATCAAGGAGTAAGGGAAAGTTATTAGGGTTGTCTGGAAAGTGAGTTTTAAAGTTATCTATCTGAGTAAGTAATTAAGAAAAACAAAAGTTTTGAAATATAAAGGATAGGTGTATATAATCCATAAAATCTTTGCAAGTCAAATGATAATAGCGATCAACACATCAACAGATTTGAAAATAAAATAGTCAAAAATTAGTTTTAGAAAGAGCAAGTAACTCTTTATCTTTAGTCAAAGATAATTAAAACAGTTAGTTTTTACCTAATATTTTTAGTTTACTACCTAAAAATATTAGGTGGTAATATTATACATAATATAATATTTTTAGGTACTTTAGTCATTTTAGTTGTTAAAGAAATCAACTTGATTATAGATACCGCATAACACCCTAAGCAATGAGCTATGCAGTTGTCTTAATCCTGCTAAATAGCTTTGCGCCATAACAAAGGGCTTCTTATGTTGTCTTGACAATGTACACAAAAAGTAATAACAGGGATGCTATACATGTGCAACATGGCACATGGGTAGCGTTATTATTCTGATATTTTACAGCTGTTGATGGAATCAGCCTGTCTAAGAGCTACCACATAGTTCAGGAAACCTTACTACCAGCCAGCCTTAGAACTTTAAACTCATTAAACTAAGTAAAATAAGTAAAAGGAACAGAGCTGTACAATAGATAACAGCAAGAGTTGCATAGCTACTATCAAGTACAAACAAAAAACAATAAGTAGAGTTTAGAAGATCCAAAATCATTCATCATCCAACATCATTCATCAAGTCTCCAACATTCATCATCTTAGGCAGGAAACAATGTAATACAGGTTTAAATCCATGTCAGTCTGTTAGATAAAGCTTATTGGTTTCTCATGAGTAGACTATTTCTATTGAACCAGTTTATGGAAAAAACCATTTGGTGAACAAATTGATTGCTGCAATAACACAAATTGTTAATGCTAACAGCTAATTTAATTATTGTAAGTCATACAGCATTTTGCTTTTTCAATTTCAATTTAGCTTTAACATCATTTTACAAATAATTTACTTCAACATCTTTACCTTTTTTATAATCATTTTACAAATAATTTACTTCGACATCTTTTACCTTTTTTATAATCATTTTACAAACAATTTACTTCGACATCTTTTACCTTTTTTATAATCATTTTACAAATAATTTACTTTGACATCTTTTACCTTTTTTATAATTATTTTACAAATAATTTACTTCAACATCTTTTACCTTTTTTATTAATCATTTTACACTTTGACATCTTTTACCTTTTTTATAATTATTTTACAAATAATTTACTTCAACATCTTTTACCTTTTTTATAATCATTTTACAAATAATTTACTTCAGCATCTTTTACCTTTTTAAATCATTTTACAAATAATTTACTTCAACATCTTTTACCTTTTTTATAATCATTTTACAAATAATTTACTTCAAGCAATGTGACAAAAATCAGTAATAAAAATAAATTTTGAAAAAAACATTTTTCTTGTATTCACCTTCCATGGCTAGATAAGCCATTACAATTAAGGAGTCTAATCATCAGGAGAAAAAAATTGAGTAGAATTCTACTTAAGACATGGTGGGATGTACTTAGTACTTCTCACATACAAAGCACTATAACACTACAACACTACAATAAAAACTTTTAGAAAATTACATAAATATTTACAAGTAATAAACTTATTAACTTACAAGAATTTAATGGTGAACTCAATAATGAAATATCAGATAAAACAGTATCATGAGACTTTGTTTGTTTTGAACTTGTTGCACCTAGATAAAAAAAACTTAAAATTTTTAGAATAAACTCTTTACTTAAAATCTGAGACTGATGTATATGAGTTGTTTGACTCCTGGGTTAAGCTAAAAAATCCTTAAAAAAAAAACTCTTTACTTAAAATCTGAGACTAATGTATATGAGCTGTTTAACTCCTGGGTTAAGCTAAAAAAAACTTAAAATTTTTAGAATAAACTCTTTACTTAAAATCTGAGACTGATGTATATGAGCTTAGGTTTGACTCCTGGGTTAAGCTAAAAAATCCACTGATGATAAAACTTTTAATCTGTTATTATTAATTATCAGCTTGTCACTTTCTCGTAATACAATAGGACTAATAATATTAGGTGAAAATAATTTTAAGAATTGTCCAACAATTGTTAAAAATAGTTAAAAATTCTGAATAACCTTTTCAATTTGAATAATGAGCTTTTAGAAGTAACAAATGTAGTTTCATGTATAAGTGCTAATACGCACAAGTTTATTATGTTCAGGGTGTAATACTGATAAAAGCTTAAAAGCTTTTCTTACTTTACTTTTTAGTTCATTTTGATTATGGTAAACTTTGCATAAATCATCCCAACTAATACAATAATCCTGATGGATAACCAATGCTGGTATTTAAGATCTAAAGTTTTTATTTTAAACACCAATCTTCTTGTAACTTTTAAAGATTTTGATTAAATGCAATCATAAAACTCCATGATTCTGTGATTTATAAAATATTTCGATTTAAAATTGAACATTGTAACTAATAAATGAGAAAGCCATACCATGCACATTGAATCAATTAATTTTTCAAGATTGTCAGCTGTTTTTTTGGATTATCTGTTTTCTAGAAAATGTAATTGGAATTATTTGAACTAAGCATTTATTATATAAGGATCTTTTTTGTCCTATTGTCAGGAATGCATCTGTTTGAACAAAATGCCTTCTTCTAAATACATTTCCTCAACCATTATAATACAATCACAAGATATTTAAAGCCATTAAAAAATCAACCCCTTGATGAATCTTATTAACAGTATTAATGGTAAAAAGGGAATCTTTTAAATACCAGTTTGTATGACTGCAAAAAAGTATATCTTAAAAGTATATCTTAAAACACATACCAAGTCATTTCTGTAGAATATGATTGCCTTGTGGCATATAATACTTTTACTAATCTTAAATCATTAAATCTTAAATCTCATACATTGTGATTTTTTAATGTACTGTTTTTAATACAAAAAAATATCCCAGCATACTAAAATTATCAAGTTTTGCATTATGTTCTTTAACAAACCAACTTAATAATGGAAGTGGTGTCTCTTTGTATTTTAAATGCAAATTCATGTCTGCATCAACTATTTTTGATTCTAATATTTTTTGAAAGTATGTTCAATAATATATCATAAAATACAAAACCTTTTTTAATTTGTTTAAATCCAGGTGGTACTACTGACTCATTCAAGTCATTTGCAAGAGTTTTTCTTATTAATTTTCTTTAAAAGTTCTCTTTTTCTGAGGGTTTTAAGAAGTCTTTAATTGATAAAGATAATATTTTTTGCAAAAGTTCACAAGAATATTTGGAAGGAACAGGTTTCATGAATTAATGGATGCATTTGTGACTTCTAGTTGTATATTATTAAAGTACAATCTGAATGATTAACAAATTAGATCCAAAATTGACTTAAGTTAAATATAAGTTTTAGTCTGCAAGAAAACAAAACATTATAACTTGGTTGCCTTTGTTGCTTAAGTTTAAAGACGCACATATTGATGCAGCACATCAGGGTGTTAGCCAGCCCAATGGAACCGTGTATAACGCAGAACTTCCAATGGGTTTAAAATTACCCCAAGTTTTTTTTAAGTAATAAGACATTGTCAATAAAATTCCCAATATTTAGGATAACAATAATAATAAATATTTCCAATATTGCAAAAACGCGGTAAAAAATAAATTCATGGCTAACACCCTGCACATATGCCAACAATTTTAAATAAAAACTTTTTTAAAAACAATTTTAAATACTTAAAAGATAATAAATTCTTTAAGAAGAATAAACATTAACATGACACTTTTAAAAACCAACCTCCTAATTTTTTTCCTTTTGAAAATATAAGATTTTTGTTAAAATGTTAAGACATTTTAACAATATGTTAAAATTTAAAAGGTTTTACTGATGAGGGTACTTTAAAAATAAAGTGTTTATAGTTAAAAAGTCAGCTGTATGTCATTTATTATTATGTCAGATTTATATAATTATTATTAAGTTAGGTTTGATTACATTTTTTACAGGCTCTTTACAAAAACTTTTTTACAAAAAGCAATAGACTCTTTATAGAATATTATTCATTATCTAAAAACTGTATTTTTTTTCTGTTTTTATCAATATTTTTGAAATATTTGTAACAAAAACCAGTATGAGATAATAATAATCAGTTTAATAAAAATGACAGATTAACAATGGGGCTGTTATATTAGTCGCTTAATTAAAATATAATGACTGCTAATAATTATAATGACTGCTAATGTAAGACTATGTAACAACTTTTTTGTTGTTGAAGTTCCTGGGTAGATTACATTATTTAACAATTTTGTTGTTGTTGTGGTTTCTGGTTAGATTACATTATGCACAATTTTATTGTTGTTGAAGCTCCTTGGTAGATTACATTATTTAACAATTTTGTTGTTGTTGAAGTTCCTTGGTACATTATGTAATTTGTTTCTGGTTAGATTACATTATGCACAATTTTATTGCTGTTGAAGCTCCTTGGTAGATTACATTATGTAACAATTTTGTTGTTGTTGAAGTTCCTAGGTAGAAAATGTATTTTCCTAACCTGTTAAGCCTAAAATAAATAGAAATCTTGTAACAACTTTGTTAAAACTTCTTAAATCAAGCGGATATTTTCAAAATTGTCTATTTCAAGAAAATTCCTGATTCCAGCCTTTTTTAACATGTGATACGCCGTGTTAAAATGCAATTTTGCTTACTATTTCTAAACTATGTTAAAGATAATTTTTTAATAAATTTAATTCAAGTTACTTTTTTATGTTTGTTTTAGATTCAACTGTTTTGATTGCTTATTTAAAGTTGCAAATCAATTTACCCCGCTACGAAAGTGCTAATATATAAAAATGCTTAATGCACTTATAAAAGCATATAAATATAATGCACTTATAACTGTATATAGATGCATTACTAGATGAACACTAATGAAACCTGAAAGAAAAATTATTTTGGAGAAGTTTTTTTAATAAATTTATAAAAAGATGATTTTTTTTTAGTTTTGAAACTGTTTTTTAGTAAAAAATTTTCTATTATCATTAATTTTTTAGATTGAACATAGAATGAACATTGATTAAAATGATCAACTAGTTTATGAATTGATGGTGGCAAAGGTTTTCTCAAGTTTTGCCTAAGCATTGTTGATACTGCGTTAAGGGATGAAACTAGCTCACCACACAAACAACAACCTCTCACTCAAAAGTCTGGTAAAGACACTGGAATCAAGAGACAAATTATTATTGGGGTTTCAGAAGATTTGCCAGAAACACACTCCAATATTGAACAAATCTACAAAATGATCAACTAGTTTGGCAAAGATTTTATTAAAGCCAAAATGTTAAACAAAAATTATTAATAGTTTTTATTTTTTTAATTTTAAACCACTAAAATTTGTCATTTAGCAATTTTAAAAATATATTATTTGAAGCAATCGCAAACGCTATATTTTTGGACGTCTGAACTGAAAAGTTTTAATGAAAAAAGGTTTAACCATGCTTTAAAACAATGTTGATACAAAGCAACCTAGAAATGATGTTGATACAAACAAAGTCAGATGAATATTACTTTTGATTATTTGATTATCAAGTCGGGCTGAGCAAATTTAAAAACTAACACATACTTTTCGAACCACATAACTACTATTAAGTAGCCTCCTCATCTCTAGTGGATGAAACACAACTAAATTGCGAGAAAGCAAACATAAAAGGATAATGTGGTGTTATGAACGTTTATAGAAACAAATGGCAAAGGTTAAGTTTTTAAAATAAGGTAAATTTTTTTTTGTTAAAAAAACATATTAAAAATTTATTGATAAATTTTTTTGTAACAATAAATGGTAAACGGTAAACAGTGTAACGGTTTCAAGTTAAATTTTAATACTTTAAAATACGCAACCAACATAAATTAACTTTTAACGATGTAAATATGAATATTGAGTAAAGTTATATTAACTTATGTAATACTTTTTCGTTACGCAACAAAATCTCATAACAAGGCCTGTGATTCATATTTAATACTGAGTGTTCTTATTTATTATTAAATCTGAATTTCTTGAATATAACATAGAACTTTAGAAAAAGTTAAATAGTATAACATAGAACATAGTATAAATAGAATAACATAGAACTTTAGAAAAAGTTAAATAGTAGACATAAAAGTTAAATAGTAGTATAAAAGCATAGAAGATACTTCAGACCACATCACAAAGCATAAGTAATCTACATTTGGGATCACAAAACAAAGCATGGGTGATTCATATTTTGGATCACATCACAAAGCATAAGTGATCCACATTTCAGATCACATCACAAAGCATAAGTGATCCACATTTTGGATCACATCACAAAGCAAAGGTGATCCACATTTTGAATCATATCACAAAGGTGATCCACATTTCCAATCACATCACAAAGCATAGGTAACTAGAACTCATATTTTGAATTATTTCTGAGCAACAAAATAATAAAACTTATTTTATTTAAATGCTATCAAAAACTTGAATGCAAAAAAGCATATTATAAAACGAGAAAGACTTACATGGCATACTGTTAGATCGAAAAAAATCTTGGGCACCTTATTCCACATGCATTGCTTAAAACAATTTGGAAGTAAGGTGAATGTTTGTGACTCACTTACATAGCAGTGCTTTATGTTGTACAACCTCAATGATTATAATGCTGTACAGTTCATATATGTTTTATGTTAATATCATACTCAATATTAAGTAATGTGCAAAATTTCCTACCTTCAAATTTGCATAATTATATCTTCTATGTTAAAGGAAAAAAAAGTAAGCTCTAATATCTGCAATTGCACAAATTTGGCAACTGACTGATCACTCAAGCAACACTATTTCTAATCAAATTTCACACAGCAAGAATAATCTATTAACCTTCACACAGCAAGAATGCACCTTAATATGTTTATTCAGACATTTCTTCTTTCATTGCCTCAGTACCAAGCTGCCTATTCTAACTCCCCTGACAAAAGATCAGCGATCTTCAGGAGAAGCCAATAAGCCATATGGCAAGAAGGATATTTTAAATCAAGATTAAAATTTGACAAATGCGATTGAGAAGAGGTAATAAACCTCTTAATAAATGCCAAACTAGAATAATATAAACAATGCAACCACAGTCATTGACCTCATTAAGTCAAATGATGAGCTTGACACCAAGGCTTGAGATTTGTTTTTTTAAATCTTGATGAATCAGGAAAAAATCTTTATAAATAAAACCTTTACGTTGTGAATATTAGTACTCTATAATAAACAATTTTACATTTACAAATATTTTAAATTACTTAGCAGTTTAAAAGTTATGAACATTACATTTATATAACAATGTTAGTACCCTTGGCATCTTTTGCTCTTGTTACATTACAATCTTAGTATCCTTTAGGAACATTTTAAATAAAATCAGAAATGAAAGAAAAATGAAGCAAAAACTTACCCTTGGCATAGTTGAAATCATTTTTGGTACCTTTTGCATGGCTAAAATCACTCTCATTGTTTTCCTGCATGTTTTCCTTTACTACAGCTAAAGATTGTTTCATGAAGTCACTTGTTGAAATAAAGTTTATATTGCTTGGAGATCCATAAATAACACTTTTTTCAAAATTTTTAGAGGCTTCTTCTTCATTAAAATCAAAGGGATTAGACATCCTCTGCTAAGTTCTCTTTTATACTATAGAAAATTTAAAAAAAACTCCATAAAATCAAACAATGAAATTTACAAATAAACCTAACATTTTGTTTTTAAAATTAAAAACTCATAACAATTAAATTCTTGTGATAAAACATTTATGTCATTAAATAAAATTCTCTTATAAAAAAAAAAAAAAAAAATTAACAATAACAACATTTAGCAACAATTTATATACAGTCTAATACTGAGTAATTTGCTTTATTTAACAATGAGACAAAAACATCAAATCTTTCTAAACTTAAAACTATTTAATTTATTAAGAGATTTTTCGCCTAAAGTTGTTTCATGATTGCTTCTCTTTAGCATGGTTTTGTTTAAGCAACTACTGGAGCTATTATCTATACACTTTTCTGATAATTGATCCTCGACATCGTTTTTTGCTGATAAATTAGAATTCAACATGCATATATCCAAAGGGTACGCATCATCATTTAGATGACATTTTTCTAGCAGTTCATTTTTTATTTTACTTTTATTTTTTTCAGAATTTTTGATTGGCGTGCAAGTGTTATCAATTTTTTCAGAATTTTTGATTGGCGTGCAAGTGTTATCAATTTTTTCAGAACTTTTGATTGGCGTGCAAGTGTTATCAATTTTTTCAGAATTTTTGATTGGCGTGCAAGTGTTATCAATTTTTTCAGAACTTTTGATTGGCGTGCAAGTGTTATCAATTTTTTCAGAACTTTTGATTGGCGTGCAAGTGTTATCAATTTTTTCAGAACTTTTGATTGGCGTGTTATCAATTTTTTGTTGCTCTGATTCAAAATCTGTACAACTTCCAACAACTCCCTTGTCTTTTAATCGAATTTCTTCTTTTTCAATTACTTTAGCAAGAATAGTATGTAAATTAAGTTTTTCAAGAATTAATTTAGCACTCTCAAAATATTCTTTATCTGGGTCCTAAAAAAATAAAAGGATACATTATTTGCAACTTATTTTGTATTATTTGCATTTATATGGCAAAAATCACCAACCATTATCTTATCAACCATTACCACTTTGATTCAATATTAGTTATGAAGATTGCAGATCTTAAGCAACTACTAACTCCTAACACATGTTCATATTAAAAAAATTAAAAACAAATTTTAGCTAAAAGTTTTAAAAAGGTAAAGAGAATGATCGAGCTAAACTATTTTGATTAAAATTAAATAACAAATGAATATCAATAAAAACTAATCTTGTTGTTTTGCTTCTTCTTCTTACTCAGCTTCTTTTTAATCTGTATCTTGGAGTTTTTATCTACAGATAAAAACTCCAAGTATCTTGGAGTTTTTATCTGAACTTTTATAATGCTGAAATCTACAGACTTGATAAATTAATTCAAGCGTGCCTTATTTGTAAGAGTTTCACTATATGACATCATTGCATGGTACATTTTTTTGATTTTGAAAATATTAAATATGAAAATTAGAAATAAATTTAACTAAAAAAATAGAATAAAAAATTATTTCAAAAAAACAAACAAAGAACTTTTTTTTTTTAAAAATAAGTTTTTTGTCAAAATTACAAAAAACTTATTTTTCTACATGACTTGAAATTTACATGACTTGAAATTTACCAAACAAATTTAATACTTATTTTATACATTTTGTTACTTAAATCAAAAAAATTGGCTAAAATTAACTATTTATTTTTACATTTTTTTAATTATAAACAACATATGTTGAGAGTTAATAGCTTCTATAATAAAGAATCAAGAACTTTTTTTATTCTTTTACCTGTTTATCAAAATAGACATTCCTAAAATTTATTGATAACTTTTAGTGCTTAATAATGATCATTTTTTTATTTCATATTTGGTAAAAGATTATAATAATAAAGTATTTATTTTTAAAAGAGTTGTAATTATTTATTGAACTTTAATTTATTAAAATTTTCATTCAAATCAAAAGATTTTTTTTATTCTGTTTTTCAACTATTTCTATATTTTAAATGATTCACAATTTTAGATTTTGATAGAATGTAAGTTATGAAGTTACTGACAAACTTATGAAGTTATGAAGTTACAAACATTCAACTCAGCTGATTTATAGAAAAACTAAAAGCAGCAAAACATTTTCTTAATGATTTTTTGTAATCACAGAATCAATTATTGATTAAAAACAGTGTTTCTTATCTGGTGGTTCATTTTCACTTCTAATTCTAATTAACAGATGTTTACAAAAAAAAAGATAGTTAACCAAGAAATAGTTACAGCAAAACTATACATTTTTGCAACATAAAGAGTCACACCAGATTGACTTAAAAACTATAAATTATTTTTGGAGTAATTGAAATAATATTTTTTAATTTTCCCTAACATATTACTTATTTTAAATTTCCCTAACATATTACTAAAATTATTTATGACTGCTTGCATAAAACAATTCTCAAATATATATACTATTAATTAAAGTTTATGTAACCTATTATGTTATGTAGAAAATTAAAAAACTAAACTCTAAAAAGCAAACATTTAAAAAATCAAAAAATAACCTCTGGAAAGCAAACATGTAGAAAATCAAAACCTCCAAGTAAAGACATATTTTGCATAGAGTTTTCGATAATGCATACAGCAACAATAGCATCTTGAATAGTAACTTCATTATGAAACATTAAACGTGCATGAGCCTCAGAAAGACGAATCAAGCTTTCCAATAAACGTATTGTTGTTTGTGCTGCAGCAGTATGTGTGGCAGCAGCCCTTTGAGCTTGATAGTATGTTTGAAGAATACTAAATATAAATAACTATCAACAGCTATTTTATTTTTAAAAAATTTAAAAGTAAAATAAACAACAATAAAGAGAATAAAATAAGAGTTTAGAGTCATAGTTTGTTTACTTATGATAAAGTTTTTTTCATCAATATTTTCTTTACACTAAAATAACTTTAAGTATTTAATGTAGATATATAAATAAATTCAAACTGTATACACAAATTAATTCAAGACAAATTCAAAATAAAATTTTGAAAATCAAAAACCTGCAGCAGTCTTTAGAAAGTTCAGGAGTTAAAGTTTTGACATAAGCAAAATAAGTTTGTAATTGTTCAATATTCCAACAGCTATTAGAAGCATCAACTTCCCTTAGAGATAATTTATTTGTAAGTATGCGGTTAGATAAATACCTAAAAGAAAAATGATATATTAGAGAGAATACTAACTCTCTTTCTATGTAGTATGTATGTATGTATGTATGTATGTATGTATGTATGTATGTATGTATGTATGTATGTATGTATGTATGTATGTATGTATGTATGTATGTATGTATGTATGCAAAAGTTCATTTAGTTACATAAAATACATAAATCAAATTAACATTCATGGAAAATACTTAATATCTTACAACATCACAATCGTATACATTAATGTACCTCTTTAACCATTAATTTTGCTGTTAATTCAATTTTAGGCACTAATGATAATTTTAAAATTAACAAAACCAATTTAAATTAACTTTTGAAGAAAAATGGTTAAAATCATACAATAGAATCAAGTCAGTATTTTACAAACTTTATTTTGTATATATTTTTTTTTTTTTTTTTTTTTTTTTTTTTTTTTTTTTAACATCTTCGCTTCCAACAAGGCTGCAAGCAACCACTAATTGGTGTTGGAAGTTATTGGAAGAGAAAAGATGAAGATTGTAGCGCATAATAACAATTGACAGACGACTTATAAGATTGCAAATTATATAAATCAGAAAAGCAAGATGAAGGAAGCGAATTCCAAAGAACTGTTGTTAGAGGAAAAAAAACTAGAAGAATAAGAGTTTTTGGAGCACTTTAAAACAGTCACAGAAAAAGGATGAGACTTAATTGAATGACGAGTAACATGAGAATGAATTTTAGTAGATGGCACCAGAGACACTCTTCAGAGCAGTGCCCATTATAGTATTTGTAAAAAAGAGAAAGAAAAGCAACATTATGACAATGTGATAATGGTTGAAGGTTGACTGCAAGAGCAGGTTAGACTATGTTTACAATGCGTTTTTGCACCTTGTCTAAAAGACAAAAGGCATCATTAGAAAATCCACCCCATGATATGGCAACAGTATTCCATGCAAGGCTTTAATTAATAGTATATATATTTGAGAATTGTTTTATGCAAGCAGTCATAAATAATTTTAGTAATATGTTAGGGAAATTTAAAATAAGTAATATGTAAGGTTTCCAAGAAAGATCAGAAGTAAGAGTTAATCCTAGAAGATGAAGGGTAAGAGACCCATCGAGTACATTACCGTTCATAAATATAGGAAGGTCTAAATTATTGAGATAACGATTAGCCAAAAAAAATTGAGTTTTATCTGAGTTAAAGTTCACCAGCCACTGTAAGCCCCATGCTGTAGCAGAAGTAAGATCCTTTTCAAGCTCAGATGCCCCCTGCAAGCAATCAGAGGGAGTTGGCTTCTTATCGTGAAAAGAATAAATGGTAGTATCATCATCGAACAATGCCACCTTAGATGTGAGAATATCTGGAAGATTGTTAATGTAAATTAAAAAAAGTATAGGGCCAAGGATTGAACCTTGGGGAACCCCTGAGGTTACAGAATATGAAGAAGAGTGCTGTCCATCAAGGACAACTTTTATACTATGATTGGAAATGAAATAATAAAAACTATCGGAAAGGAAATAATAAAAACTATCGGTTATTACTGATAGCAAATCAGCCGTAGAACGAGAAGATCGAAATCCATATTGATGATCAGAAAGTAGGTTATGAGATTTGAGATTAAGTGTTTGTTAATTAAAAATTCAAAAACCTTGCTTATGATAGGAAGAAGACTAATGGGACGGTAGTTAGACGAATCGGATCGCTCTCCAGATTTTTTAAAAATAGGGATAACAGATGCTGCTTTCCAGCAGGCTGGAAAACCAGACTCAGATAAGCACTTGTTAAATAGTTTTGAAAGGATAGACGACAGCTCCGGAGAACACTTCTGCAAGACTATAACAGGTATGTTGTCAGGGCCGTAAGCTGTAGAAGAGTCTAAGCAGGAAATCACTTTAGATACAGAAGCTGGAGTGATACGGATGTCAAGCAATGGATCAACCTATTTGACGGTTATATCAGGTAGAACGCAACTAGTGGAATCAAGAGATGATATTGATGAAAAGTTCTTGGCAAACAATTCAGCTTTGTATTTAGGTGAGGTGACAAAGTATGAACCATACAAAAGAGGTGGAATTACAGTCTTGCCCTTATTATTGATACTATTAAAGATTCTCCAGAAGTCACGAGAGCCTAATTTTTGTGATGAAATACGAGATTTCATGATCTGAGAATAGCGAAAAAAAGAAGCACATTTGTCAACAGGAAAAGGAAAGATTTCTAACCAAGGGGCCATCACAAAGAAAATCATGGAAAGAGTCCTAGTCAGCTTTAAGGTAGTTGTTAGATGTACGATGATAGGGGGAGTCTGATGATAAAGAAGAATGAGATAATAGTTTCAGAGAGATTAAACTATGATCAGAAGCACCTAAGGGTGAGTGTGGAGAAACTGAGCACTGACTAGGATCAGAAACAAGACATAAGTAGAGAAGAGAAGGTAAATGATTCGGGTTGTCTGGAAAGCGAGTTGGAAAGTTGACTATTTGAGTTAGGGATTGAGAAAGGCAAAAGTTGTGGGTTTTAATGCCTGCAGAGTCACTGACATTAGAGCCAAGCCATTCAGTGTAATGAACATTAAAGTCACCGACAACAATAATATTGGCTGATGGATAAAGAATTAGGGTTTGGTTAATATAATCATAAATAACATCAAAAAGAGTGCAGTCTTGAGATGAAGGAGAGCGATATAGAACAAAGAGAAAGGTGATAGAGTGAAGTGGTGCTAAACGAAATCACATAAAAGAGTAGTCTTTGGATTCAAACCTAGTTTCCCGACAAATGGGTGAATTCTTACGAATGTAAATGCCCAGGCCAAGCATGTGATTATTGGAGTCTTTACGAATTAAAGGAAGATAACCATCAACACTAAGATCACAAGATGAGACAGCTGAACTCAAATTAGTCTCACAAAGAGCAAGTAGGTCTAGTGAACTTTTCAAGAGATAAGACTTCACAGAATAAAAGCTACTTTGGAAACCACGAATATTGGTGAATGATAGGTTTAGCGAACTTGGTGATGACTGTGGTTTTTTGTGTTTTATAGTTTTTGTTAATTTATTCATTTTTAAATTTGTTAAAGAACTTGACTTGAAACATAGATAGTACTCAGTACACTGTTTTATAGCCCAAGCTATTGCCTCATTTCCACTAATAAACCCTAAGCCGTAACAAAGGGCTCCAATGTGGTCTTGGCAATGCACACCAAAAGTACAAACAGGGACACCATCCATGCACAACATGGCACTGTTAGTACTCTGATATTTTTCAGCTGTTGATGGAACCAGCCTCTCTGAGAGCTACCACAGAGTTCGAGAAACCTGACTACCAGCTAGCCTCAGAACTATAAAACTGAGTTTTAGAGCTGTACCCTCATTAGGAGATAATAGAATGAGTTGCCTAGTCATAAAAACAGAGACACAAGCAAAACCCATGCATCGAGTCAAGAAGATCCAGCATTCAACATCCTAAACTGGAAACAATGTATTAAAAATACATCTGCACCAGCCTAATAGATGAAGAAGGGGTGCGAGGCTGGTCAACAGATAGAATCTGTTTACCCCTTAAGTCTTTGCCTAGAAGGCCTTCTACAAGACAGCAGGCGGATGCATTTAACATATGCCCAAGATGAGTATTTTTATCGAGACCCCATCTCTAGCCTTTACTCTACCAAGAGCCCAAGACTGGGGCAGTTTTATGTCGGACATGAAGCAGATTGTACTGGGTTACATGTTACCAGTCGCAGGATAAACCTGACCTGACCTGGTAATATGGTAGTTATGTTGGTAATATATCTGTTAGGAATATATCTGGTTATATATATGTTGCTGTTAGGAATATATCTGGTAATATATCTATATCTGAATATATATTGGTAATATATCTGTTGGTAATATATCTGTTAGGAATATATCTGTTGAAACCAAAATGAGTTTAAACTTTATCTGTTGCAGCAGTCTATAAGATAGTTGATATAGTAATACTCTTTTGTAGCAGCAGGCTATAAGATAGTCAATGTAGCAACACTTTGCGTATGTTTTACAGTAAAAAAATAAAAATAAAAACATTCAGAATGTGTTTAAAACATTCTAGTCATTTAAGTTGTGTTTTTGTGGTATTTAAAAAATGATTAATTTAATTAGCTTCCTAAATTAAACAAATTGATTGTGTGCGTATATATATATATATATATATATATATATATATACACACACACACACACACACACACACACACACACACACACACACACACACACACACACACACACATATATTTCTTTTTTTGACATATATCTCATAATCTAAAATAAAATTAACTCTATTATTTCAAACTTAAAAATTTCATTTGTCTTTCATTAAAACTTTGCGCTTATTTGCAAACTATTTATAAATATTTATAAAACTATTTATAACTATTAGCAAACTATTTATAACAATTTGCAAAGTGTTTATAACTATTTGCAAACTATTTATAACTATTTATAAACTATTTATAATTATTTATATTTCAATTATTCGTAAAGTAAAAAAAAAAATTATCATCTATTGATCTGTCAAAACTATTTATAACTATTTGGAAACTATTTAAAACAATTTGCAAACTATTTATAACTATTTGCAAAGTATTTATAACTATTTATAACTATTTGCAAAATATTTATAACTATTTATAAAACTATTTATAACTGTTTGCAAAGTATTCATAACTATTTGCAAACTATTTATAACTATTTATAAAACTATTTATAACTATTTATAAAACTATTTATAACTATTTATAAAACTATTTATAAGTATTTATAAAACTATTTATAACTATTTGCAAACTATTTATAACTATTTGCAAAGTATTTATAACTATTTATAAACTGTTTGCAAAGTATTTATAACTATTTGCAAACTATTTATAACTATTTATAAAACTATTTATAACTATTAATAAAACTATTCATAACTATTTGCAAAATATTTATAACTATTTATAAAACTATTTATAACTATTTATAAAACTATTTATAACTATTAGCAAACTATTTATAACAATTTGCAAACTATTTATAACAATTTGCAAACTATTTATAACAATTTGCAAAATATTTATAACTATTTGCAAAGTATTTATAACTATTTATAAAACTATTTATAACTATTTATAAAACTATTTATAACTATTTGCAAAGTATTTATAACTATTTAGAAACTATTTATAACTATTTGCAAACTATTTATAACTATTTATAAACTATTTATAACTATTTATAAAACTATTTATAACTATTTATAAAACTATTTATAACTATTTGCAAAGTATTTATAACTATTTATAAACTATTTATAACTATTTGCAAAGTATTTATAACTATTTATAACTATTTGCAAAATATTTATAACTATTTATAAAACTATTTATAACTATTTATAAAACTATTTATAACTATTTATAACTATTTGCAAACTATTTATAACTATTTATAAAACTATTTATAACTATTTGCAAACTATTTATAACTATTTATAAACTACTTATAACTATTTGCAAAGTATTTATAACTATTTATAAAACTATTTATAACAATTTATAAATTATTTATAACTATTTATAAACTATTTATAATTATTTATATTTCAATTATTCGTAAAGTAAAAAAAAATTTATCATCTATTGATCTGTCAAAAATGACAAAAAGATACTGGTGTTGTTGCTAGTGCTCAAACAATTAGAAGAGTACTACAAAAACACAATTACATGGAATGAGCTACTTGAAAATAACCACATCTATGGATAAAACATCAAAAAACAAAGAAAACCTGGAGTTTAGCTCATAAAATTTGGTCTATCAGCATGTGGCACAATGTTCTTTTCAGAGAAAAAATAAATGTTGAGGTTGATTTAAGAAATTTAACATTTAAAAAATAATTAAAATTTAGTTTCTACCTTTACTGTTGTTTTTTCTATTGTACTTTTTAAACTGGTGTCATCATTATAAATATATGTGTATCTAATATTATTTTTGGATATGGTGTTGATGGCTATTTTCTTTAATGTCTTTCAGATCATGCTAAAACATAAATCCTTTTCTTCCTCAAGGAAGAAAAGATTTACCTTAGACATAATCTGAAAAGATTTACAATAGAAGATTCATTAAAACTTTAATCTGTGGTGACTTTTTAATATAAACATAAAGAATATTTATTGGCTTTAGTACATACATCGACTATCTTATAGCCTGCTGCTACAAAGGAGTGCTACTGCATCCATTATCTTACAGCCTACTGCTACAAGGGAGTGTTGCTACATCGACTATCTTATAGCCTGTTTCTATAAGGAAGTGCTGCTACATTGACTGAGGATTTGACATAGCAGGGAATTTGACATAGCAGGGAAGAAATCTTTTTTCTTTAATTATTTTAATTTAAATTTCTAATGTTTAAAAAATTTTCCACAAACTAGAGCGCAACAAGTGGAAAAATAAAATTATTATAAAGCGCTATACTGTAGCTTGATCTAATATTTTGTATTTTTTACCTAGGTTTACCCATAGTTCTTCATTGCCCTGTAGGACATTAATTTTTTGATTTAATTTACACAGCCTGTGTCACATGTCTTAAATAAATAAAGTGAAAAATAAATTCTGGCATTCAGGCCTGAAATATTACGATTCCGGCCGGAACGGAATTCACTACTTTAAAGCTGACTAGGAATTTTCTGTGCAACTTTCTTTGTGATTTTTAAGCTGATGACTTTTGCCTTACTACTAAAAATTGTCTTTCCTTAAAAATCTCCTGGATTTAGACAGACATCGAAGCTTTCCTTCTTGTTGGTTTCAATTTAAACCTCATGGTTGGGTGGTTTTCTCCTTCTTTTTCTTTTTAGTAATGAATAATGACTATAAATGACTGAAAACAAATGCTAAAAATAAAAAATTTTAAGTTAAAAAATTTCATTAAAAAATATTTATATTAATATCTATTATTATTAATATATTAGCAACAGTTAGTTGATAAACAATATTTTAAAAAAAAAAAGGACTCCTGAGGATTGATTAACCACTGCGCCATACAATGTGTAACTCAATAAATTAATAAAGTTTGAATAAAATGAATTTGTTTTGACGCATGATATTCTTTAAGTTATTAACTTTAAAATAAAGTAACTTTAAAATAAAGTAACTTCTGCATGATTAATAAGTAAGCGTTACATCAGCATTACACTATCAAGGAATCAGGGAATCAATAGCCTCGGTAAAATGTGTATTAGATTTGGGAAGTTTTTAAAAATATTGAAACATCCCTTTCTAATCACAGTATTGAAGCTGTAGTTGATGTATAGCACAGTCATTCATTCACAGTAACCTCTAGGGTACAAGCAACTTATCTGTAATGTAATCTCACTTCTATGACAGTTTGAGCCTTGCAGTTGTTAGCGAATTTTAACCCAAATAAAATTCAGTTATTTATTGCTAATAAAAATTACAACATTTTATATATTATTTTTATTTAATGAACAGTATTATTGAAAACGGTTATTGAGTCTTCTACTTCAAGTCTTTTAGGGTTATCCCTCACTAATAACCTCTCAAGGAAACCATATATACAATCCATTCTAAATTTAAAATCTGCTAAGGTTGCCTCTCTCCTTATCTTGCTTAATATGTGCTCTTAATTCCATTCGCTACCTCTTAAATCTACTATTGATCTGTTCTTCTAATAAGACTTTCCCTTTTTTTTTTTGACAAGATTCAAAAATACATTGTAAATATTTTTACACCTGCTGCTAAGCCTGAGCCTCTGTCCTATTGTATCTCTTTCTTTTTCGTTGTTGTATCTCTTTCTCTTTACTACAACTACTACCAGGGTTGTTGCTCAATGCAGCAACTTTAAACCTTGTGTAAACCTTTCTATGTTTTTTTTTAACATTTCTTTTCTAAATATTAATTTACTGTTAAATTAAAAATGTCTCTATCAACATTTTCCCCTTCATAATTTAGCATCTGTTAATTCTAATATGATTTTTTATATCAAATTTATAATATAAAACACATTTATTTTCACTTATCTTTAACTCACTTGTCCCATTCCTTATTTTGATTATCTTTCAATACGAGAATAACATCAAATCTACTTAAAAGAGGGCTTGCAAGGGCAATGTTTGCAGATAAGCTAAGGTCTGGATCATATTTCCCTTTTGAATTTGTAGCTGCAATAATTGTTGTTCTGGTGTTTAACTTGCAAACCATCCCTGCTTTTGCAACACTTATTGTCTGTTGTTCCATAGCCTCATGTATACCTAAAAATACAAAAAAAAAAATTTTAGTGACAGTCACCAAAAGTAGCTAGCTGATGATTAGTTACTATTAACATGTTTCAAAGTTATTGCGTTGCCATTTATAGCGGCTGCCACTAATGGTCCACTAGGTAACCGATGAGCAAAACTGTAATGAAAAACAATTTACTAAACAGCATTTTCTATTGTTGCAAAATTTTCCACCAAGAAAATAAGGACCACAGATGCAATTTTCCACCAAGAAAATAAGAACCACAGATGCAATTTTCCACCAAGAAAATAAGAACCACAGATGCAATTTTCCATCAAGAAAATAAGAACCACAGATGTAATTTTCCAACAAGAAAGGAAACAAGATTTAGTCAAGCACTAGTTAAATAGTTGAGAGAGTAATTAAATAAATACTAGACAACAATTTTGTAAAATTATTATAGAAATGTTGTCTGGACCACTAGCTATAAAAGAGTGGAAAATAATAACAACAAAAAGCTAGAGTAATTTGGATAACCATCTGAATTCATTCTTTGTCATAACTAGAAAAGTGTGTGCATTAGATTCAAAAGATGAAATGAGAAAGATTGAGGAAAAGTTCTTTAGAAATAGTTTTACCTTATCCTTGGAAAAGGTTAAAAAAAAGAAGATAAAAAGGTAAAAATCAGACCCATGTATGAGAGACTTTTGTTAAAGATTTTATAAAAATTTTTGCAACTTTTGTTAGATTTTTAAGATATGAGACTAGTATTATGATAATAAATTTTTCTTAAGAATTCAGCAACAGACAAAACTTTTTTGCATCAAAAAAAGTATTTGATAAATATAAAAAAAGACGCCATTTTTAGCAGATCACAAAAGGACCATCACAAAAAAAACTACAAGATATATTAAATTAAAGTTTTAGTGAAGTCTTTATTGTTAATCTTTGTTTATCTTAAAATTGTTCATAAGAAAAACAAAGAGGTACTAAGCAAAAGGGCAATAAATTAGACACAAAACAAGGAGTGAAGATAAGTAAAGATTGTCAAAAAATTATCTAAGTAAATGATTGAGAAAAAAAAAATTTTGAGCTTTAGATCCAACAGAATTAGTGGTACTACAATTTTAGTAATTATTAATTATTAATTTAGTATTTTAGTACATTTATGAACATTATAATCATTAATAACAACAATATTGGCTAACGATTAGAAATGAGGAAGTACTTGGTCAACTTGATCAGAAACAAAATTAAAAAGAGCACGAAAAAAACAATATAGAACAAAAACGAAAAAAATATATATAGAACAAAAAGAAAGTAATTTAGTGAAGAGGTGCTAAACAGAAGCATATAAAAAACTTTCATAGGATTTTAACCTCAATTTGGAACAAATAGGTGAATTGATATCTAATTGTATGCCCAGATCAAGCATGTGACTATTGGAGTCTTTACAAATCAAAAGATTATGACTGTCGACACTAGATCTGAAGATAAAACAGCCAACTTTAATTCTAACAACGAGAAAGTAGGTCTGGTAAATTTATCAAAAAAAAATATTTATTGAACAAATATTTACTTCAAAGACTACAAATATTTGTAAAAGAGTTTTATTTGTAAAAGGGTTTGTGAAGTGATTTGGTGGAAATGATGATTTCTTTATAATAATATTTTTTAATTTTTATTTATGTTTTTAATGATTAGAGTCAGCTTAATAGTTGAAGGATAATAGTAACCATAAATCTTCTGCTCACCCCTAAAGTTTTTATCTAGGAGACTTTATACAGTAGACAGTAGTTAGATAAAATGAAAAATGAAAGAATATCCACTGCTACTTACATATGTATGCTCAACTTATTACTGAAATTTAGTCGAGAAGCATCTGACATTTTTGACACCAAATTTTCGGGCACACCAAATTTTTGGGCACATTTAATTGAAGTTAACAAATACTTCCAAAATCATCACCAACCACAAGTGAGTTTGTAACATACTATTTTAATTTTACAGTTTGATTTTTTTTTTTTTACTCTTTTATTCAGGGAATTATGTTAATATCAACTAATTAAACTTGTTCTTAATTTCAGGGATGGCTTTTGGATGATAAGAATGGAGTTATGTCGAAACTTTCTAATGATACACAATGGAACTCTCAAGTAGACTGTTTTAAGACTTCTATTAAAAATTATAACCACTACCGTGATATTATAGAGAAGCATGAAGATGATATTAAACATAATATCAAGAAAATTTTAGATAATGCTGCAATTTTGAGAGAAGCTAAAAATCTTCAAATTCAACTGGAGAAATGTGAGATAAAAAATAGCTTTAGATAAGGTAGATATGTAAAACAAAATTGTTAGTCATTAAAATACTGTAAACTTTGGCTTCAATATACTGTTAAAATATTTGCAAAGATATTTAAAAAAAATCATTGTCAGATGCATGTGAAATTTGGCTGTCTCTCCTGAAGGATGAAGACCTGAAATACTAAATTAAAATTAGGTTAAAATTTGATAAAGCAATGGAACCTTTTTATTTTTTGGCAAATTTGACTGATATTAAATACTAAGGTATGGCGATCAAATTGACCCAAAAATTGACAGAACAAACTTAAAACTACATTATTTTAACTTACATAACTTACATAACACATTAGTTGATTCTAAACTACAGACACAATTTATGACATATACATAATATCCATATAGAATTTACATTTCTCATTTATAATATAGCAGGAATATAATATTCTTTAATTTTAGGAAAATCTTTAATCATTGAACAAGAAGCTGCTGCAGAAGCTTGGCTTAGTGATAAGCACAATGAATAATTAGCTGGATAGTATTATTTCAGGCTAAAAGTCACAACTACCTTTCCAAAGCACATGTTCAATGATAACTTTATTTCTACATTTTCAAGTGAAAGATGGTGGGGTACAATAGATATGAAGCAAAGGCTGCATCAAAAAGCTTTACCACTACCAGAAGGGTTTTCAAAATTTTTTCAATCTCTTCATAGTTGTCCTGCAAGCACTGGCTCCATAGAAAGAGTATTTTCTACTTTAGTTATTGTGTGGAGCAAGAAATAGGTTAAGAAACGATAAAGCTGAAAAGCTTGTTCGGATATACAGATATTTGAGAGGTGAAGAATTTGATTGGTAAACAAAAATGGCCAATCTTTTGTAAAGCTTTTAAAACTTAATGAAATATAATTTGTAATCTCCATTGATTTTTCTTTTTCTTTTTAGGCATTAAACTAATTTTCCCTAATAATTTTTTCTGTATAACCCCAACCAGTTATACAAATGATTAATCATATTGTGGATTATTCTGTGAGGAGTTTAAACAAAAAAGAATAATATACATATATATTTTATAATAAAGGAATAATAAATCCTATATTATTTATAATATAGGGTTTATAAAAGCTAAGAAGAGATTCATCTGTTGTAAAAAAAGATATTTTTAAAAAAAACCAAATATCTTTGGGTTTTTTTGGGTTTTTTTTAAGGTTGATTTTTTGGGGTTTTTTGGGGTTGGGTTTTTTAGCCAACCCTGTTTTTTATTCTGATATACTCCAAGTAGGTTGTATGAGTCAGGAAAACTGGAAGATGGGAGAACGTCCCAACGGGCCAAAGTGCAGGGAAAAAAACTGGATGAATAAAAATTTTTAGAGCATGCAGGGACAGATACAGTAAACAAATAAGACTTTGCTGAATGACAAGTCAAGCAAGAATGAGTTTTAGTTGATGGAACTAGAGATGATAACTCCTTTGTAGTGATATAATTTTCTGGTAAAATTTTATTCAAAATTTACCGGTAAAATTTTTCGGTTTTCAACTACATTTACAATAACTTTTTGGAACTTGTCTTGAAGAGAAAGAGCATCATTAGAAGAACCAGCCCAAATATGGTAATAGTATTCCGTACAGGGACGAATAAGAGATTTGTAGAGGTGGAGGTAAAATGGAATCAGGAGTAAGAAAATGCACAATAAAGCACAATAAAGAAAAGCAACCTGATGCTAATTTAGCAATTGATTGTATATATGGATTCCATGAAAGGGACAGTAGTAAACAATAATCCAAAAAAAGATAAAAAAGAGGACTCAGTGAGTTACCATTAGTTACCATTCATTAATACAAGAATGACATCATTGTGATATTTGTTGCCAGTAAATAACAGAGTTTTATTGGAGTTAAAATTTACAAGCCACAGCAAGCCCTAATCTGTTACAGAAGTCAGATCAGATTTAAGATGCCTGTTCTAAGCAATCAAAAAAGGAAGACTTTTTGTCAAGACAGGAGTACAAAGTTAAGTTATCAGGAAGATCATTAATGTAGATAATAAACAAAACAGGACCAAGGATAGAATCTTGAGGTACCCCAGAAGTTACTGGAAATGAAGAAGAGTGTTAGCCTTTGAGGATGGCTTTAATAAAGCAATTAGAAAGAAATGACTTGATAATCTCAAAAACTTTCCTAGATACACCATAAGAAGCAAGCTCGTGGAGAAGACCAGCATGCCAAACTTTATCAAAAGATAAGTCAAGAGCAATAGCCATAGCATCTCCGCCTCCATCTAATGCATGATAAAACCTTTCAGTCACAGCAGTTAGCATGTCAGCCATAAAGCGAGAAGATCAAAAACGATACTGATTGTCTGGCAGTGAATTATATAAAATGTTTTACATTAAAAAAACATTTTTAATGTAAAAAATCATCTAATAATATTTGTTATTATTTTTTTTTTTTTATTTAATAAAATGAGAATTAAAATAATACTTGCTCTATCATTATCACGAATACTATTGAACTCGTCTATACAACAAACACCCCCATCTGCAAGTACCAATGCACCAGCTTCAAGATGCCATTCACCACAGTCTTTTACAGCAGTAACGGTTAAACCTGCATTTGTTGAGCCAACTCCAGTAGTTAAAACAGAACGCTTCATCAACTTTGTTGCATACTTTAAAAACTGAGATTTTCCTGTACCTAAAAGTAATACAAATACAAACTTCCACTAAAATAAATCAAATAGCCAATTTTAAATTACAAAATATATTACTGTTTGCAAAAGTAGTCGTATTGTATATATATATATATATATATATATATATATATATATATATATATATATATATATATATATATATATATATATATATATATATATATATATATATAGTAAAGGAGTAAAATATACAGTTTGCAGGAAAAAACAGTTCATAGCTTGCCTATGGTTTTAAAAACATTCTGAATGGTTTTATTTTATTTTTAAAAATAAAAACATTCTGAATGTTTTTTATTTTTATTTTGTCACTGTAAAACATGCACAGAGTGTTAATATATCAACTATCTTATAGCCTGCTGCTACAAGGACATGTTATAAAGATTAAAATTTTGATTTATATAACATATCATATATGACAACATTTTTTTTTGTTTCTTTTCAATAAATTTATACAATAAGATATTAAGTATTTTTTTAAATGAATCAAAAAAAGAAACTTAGAGACTTGCCTAAAACTTTCAGGTCTTGTCATCAAGAACCCTGCGTAAAATATCTATACATAATTAATTTACTTTTTTAACATAGATTTAAACTAAATTAACTTCAGTTGGGTGATAGAAGTGGTGATAAGCGCATGTGGAAGCATGCTACATGCTTCAAATAGTTATTTGAGTTCTTAGTTATTGAGTTTTTGGTTCCTGGAAATTGTGCATTTTTTAAATAAGTATCTATTATATATATACACAGTATATTATGTATATACACAGATATTATGCATACATACAAACATGCATACATATAAATATGCATAAATGCAACCCCCCTGCCCCCTCCCCCCTTTATGTATGTATGCATGTATATATACACATATATACTTGCATACATACATACATACATATGTACATACATACATACATACATACATACATACATACATACATACATACATACATACATACATACATACATACATACATACATACATACATACATACATACTTACGTACAAACATACATACATACATAAATACATACATGCATACATACATACATATATACATACACACATACATACATACATACATACATACATACATACATACATACATACATACATACATACATACATACATACATACATACATACATACATACATACATACATACATACATACATACATACATACATACATACATACATACATACATACACACACACACACAAACACACTAAACCATATATATCTTCTCTTTTCCTTTTTTCTTTTATTTCTATTTCATTTTTCCTTTTTTTTTTATTACATAAATATAAATATATCTTAAATGAAAGATCAAATATCAATAAAATATATTTTAAAAAAATACCAAGATATAATAGAATATCCAGAAAATAACAAAATATATAGAAAAATATCAAGAACAAAATCGTAAGAATATTTAAATAAACTTGTTAAGTTTATAAAAATGTGTCTTTGATAGTTAAAATTTTTTAATAAAGAGTAATTCCATTTGAAGGAAAAATTAAAGTTTTTCAAAACTATTCTGTTCCAAAGAAATACACATCAAAATGAAATACTCCACTTTCCAAAATTAGTTTGAAAAAAAGGTTCCAAAATTAAATTATCATTTCTTAAGTTGTATTTACTTCTAACTTTTAAGGTATACAAATTATGAAAAGAAATAGGAGATGTATTAGTTTTGCATATGTACATAAAAACGAAATATGTTAAAACAATCAGCTGATATTAAAAATTTTTATTTCAAATAAGAGAGGCTTGGCATGAGAAAATCTTTAAAATTGATTAGATGAGCAACATGCTTCTGCTGAAGATAAAGTGGTAACAACTTAGATTTGTTAATATGACCCCAGGAAATGTTTGCGTAATTTATATGGCAATGGATTAAAGAGAAATATAGTTGTGTTAAAATGTATTTATTGAAAGTATTTATTTCTTTATTATTCTTATACCTTAAGCAACTTTGTTGCACAAAAATATGATATTTCAAGCTAAGATTTTCATCAACATAGACAACTAAAAAGTTTTATTTCCTAATATTTTTATTTTTGTTTGCATTTATTTTTGTTTGTCTATAAAAGAAAGTATAACTAAAAAGTTTTATTTCCTAATATTTTTATTTTTGTTTGCAATTATTTTTGTTTGTCTATAAAAGAAAGTATAACTAAAAAGTTTTATTTCCTTATATTTTTCTTTTTGTTTGCATTTATTTTTGTCTATAAAAAGAATGCCATTAAGCAGTAGTTTCCTTTTAAAAGTTTTAAAAGTTTTAGAAGTTGGATGAAAAAATTTTGTTTTATCAACATCAAGCGACAACTTATTTTAAAAAGTCACAAATTTTTGTTAACTCAATGTTTATATCTTGAAATAATGTTGTTATGCATTTATGAGGCAAAAAGAAATTAGTATCATCAGCAAACCTAATGGTCATTACATTAGAGGCTTTAGGAAGGGTATTAATGTAAATAAGAAAAAGAAGGGGTATAAAGTCCTGAAAGACCCCACATGTTAAATCTAGTAAATCATAAGATACAGTTAATCTCTTTGCAGTTGCTTAAATATAATGAACTGTTTGCAGTTGCTTAAATAACTTTTAAGTAGCATTAAAACGTACTCAAAAGTACTCTTACTTTTTAAATAGAATTTTATAATCAATTGTATCAAAGGTAAGTCAATTAAAACTCCCAACGTATAATGGAATACTGCAGGTAATTTGGAGTACTGAGTGTTCCGTTGAATTACTTTTTTTAAAACCATACAGATGATTTAGTTATTTGTTCGAAGATAAATGATTGAAAATTATGCTATACAAAAATCTAAAACTTTAGAAAAAACTGGCAATATAGAGATTGGGTAATAGTTTGAAACATTGGTTGCATCACCTCATTTAAATATTGGTAAAATTCTGGCTATTTTGAGATTTTTAGAAAAATCTCCCTGTTTTATTGAACAATGTAAAACTTTAAAAAAAAACATCTTTAATAACTTCATAAGAATCAAATATTACGTTACAATGAATATCATTGTAACCAACTGATTTATTACATTTAAGCATTTTAAAAGAAAGTTCAAACTCCAGGATAGTTCAAAAGAACTTAGGTATAAGGTTATTGGAAGGGTATTACCATTTATTTTGTTTGTCAAGATAGGAATTTTTTAAGCCAGATTAAGACCAACTAATGAAAAAAATTTATTTAATTTATCAGCTATTACACTTTGACCATAGGATATTTCATCATAGATTTTAATAGCTTTAGGTAATGTACTTGTTTTAGCTTTCTGAATGCCGGTGAGTTCTCTTTTGTTTTTTAAACTCTTTTGTGAAGTTTTTATAAGCAAACTTATAAGATTTTGTTTTTAGATATTTGGTGTATATGTTGGTGTATCTTATGTGTTTAATTTTAGATTTTTTAAAATCTTTTGTGATCTATGGTAACGTTACACTTTTTTTTTTTAAGCTAATATATATAAGTTATTTTTTAAGTTGATGTACTAAAACTTATAACATTATTACTAAATATTAAGCTAGATTAGCATTATCTCAGGCATTAACTTGATTCCAATTAGGCAGAGATAATTGATCTTTAATTGATTGTAAATTAGCAGCATTAAAAAATCATTTTTCAAACATTAGTTTGTGTTGAGATAATATAACTGCATCCATATAGAGAAAAAAATAGGAAACCGGTCAGATATGTCAGTTACAATAATAACTTTTTGAAAAGATTTATCAAAAATATCAGTTGTTATATTATTGTTGACAAAAGTTGCTGTGTCATCATATGTGTATGTGTGTGTGTGTGTATATATATATATAAACATATGTATATATATATATATATATATATATACATATATATATATATATATATATATATATATATATATATATATATATATATATATATATATATATATAACAATATTGTCAATTAAAATTGATGTGTCGTTGTCGTTATTGATGTTATGCTTTGTTTGCTTTGTAGGCATCAAAAAATATCAGTATTTTTGAATAAATAAAATAAAGTTTGGAAGTAATTCAACTTGATTAAATAACTTTGAAATTTAAAATTTTTCCAACTTTTAAATTAATATTAAAATATCATAATTTTATGCTTTTATTTTTTCTGTTGTTTTTTATCATTTATTTTATTATTCCTTGAGATTATTTTTTTTTTAATTTAGTTTTGTATTTCTTTTTTTATTTTTTATTTCGCTTTCCAGTTTATAGTTTGTTTACTTTAGTTTAAGTTTATGTTTGTTTATTCAGTGCATTTTTTAAATGGGATTATTTGAAACATGCAAAGTGGCTTGGCTAAGTTGTCAAAACAAAATACTGTGTGCATGGTCATATAAGGTGTGCAACCACATGTCTTTCCTGAGAAGGCTATATATATATATATATATATATATATATATATATATATATATATATATATATATATATATATATATATATATATATATATATATATATATATATATATATATATATATATATATATATACATATATACATATATATGTATATATATATATATATATATATATATATATATATAAAATATATATACATAGATATATATTTTAATAACTACATGTTTACTACTAAAAGTTTCATGCTTTGGCATTCATCAGGTAATACATGTTATTTTGTTAAAAACTTTTCTTATTATAAAATGTGCAGAAACAATTAGCAAAGTCCATTTGAATTTTTCAGTTTTTTATTTGTAAAGGAGTGTTTGCGCCCATCCAGGACGAATAATCAACGAACGCACAAACGTTTGTTAAAAAAAAGACAGAAAAATGAATGTCACGTTTCCTTAATTTTACTGAAGCAAATGTTGGTGTTCGCTTAAAAATTTTAAACACGAACGTATAATTTCAGCAATTTTTTTCCAAATAATTATACGATTGATAGTTTTTTATTTATTATATAAAATATATCATAAAAAAACAATTAG